TAAATTCATTTCTAAGTAACAATGAAAAGACTCATTTTATGTAATGACCGATTTGGTAAGATCACGTTGTTACCTTAATATTTTCTACTCATTTTGTCTTTGTTTATTATTAATAATCATATTTCATCTTTTATCCTATATTTTTATAGTAGCTTTACCCCGTACCTGACTTTTCTTGTAGGTTTATCATTCAAAATATGAATGAGTGACATTATGTATCGACAGAACGATACAATTTATCCAAACATTGTATTCCTTAAACAATCAATACAACAAAATATGATACATTATGTAAAAATACGCAACAACCATTTAAACAAAATGTAAAAAGTTACAGGAGGCGTCTAAATAAATTTATTTTGAAATTTTTTTGTAACCCTCTTTCTCTATCCCCATTTTTTTTTCTTTTTTAAAAATAAAATCTTTTTAGAAAAATGTTAAATTATTTGGTAACATATCATATTCAATCCAAATTAGAAAAGAGTGTATATAGAGTAGCATTAAGAAATAAAAAAAAAAGAGAATTAAATTTGGTTCCTGCCTAGAAATGCATAAAAGAAAAAAAGCTCCAAAAATTGTTCAGAGTTGAGTGTTTTGGCGTATTGAGTTGAGAAGTGAAGATGGATAGACGAAGATCTTTGTGGCTTACTGTCATCTTCATCTCTTTGTTATCTTCTGCTCACTCCTTTTATTTACCTGGCGTTGCTCCTCGCAATGTTCAAACTGTATGTTCCTCTTTCTTTACTCAAATCTTTTTTTTTTTTTTTTTTTGTATTCCTACAAAAAAAAGTGAATTTAGTGTTGATAACCATTTTTTGAATGGTTTAGACCCTTTTGAAATCTTGGGGTTTTAGTAATTTCAGTAGTCTGAGTTGTTGCGACTGAGAAGGGTTTGGATCTGTTGATTTTTGACCGACTGGCGAGGTTTTGAGAGAGAGTATGTCCTGTTTTGATCTGGGGTTCTGTTTTTTTCCCTCGTTGGATAATGGGTATGATTAATGATCTATTTTAGTTGATAGACCAATCCCATTCAGGCAATCGAAGTGCTTTGATGAGTGAATACATTTGATTGATACCTAATCTGTGTTTTCCAGCTTAGATGAAATAAACAGAGAAATGTAGTGTGTGTTTAGCTCTGAATTCTCATTTCTTGAGAGAGGAAGAAGCTGTGAGGATCTTATTCTTAAGCAAATGTTGCTTTGGGTGTTGAGCTTGATTGACTCGAAGACTGAAGCTGTTTGACATGGTTTAAGCATAGAATGTTATGGAAATTGTGTATGGGATTATTAGGTACATTTTGGATTGGTTGTTTGGGATCGAAAAATCAGAAAAGAGTATCTGTTGAAAGATACAATTTTTTTTATGTTTGAGCATCTATCTTTTGGATTTCTATTTACTGTTTGATTGTTGCTCCTTGTGAAAATTTTCTGGAAACTCTATGAAGCTGCCTTCCTCACTTCGTCTTTGGGTTTCTGAGTTGTGAACCTCTTCCTTTCCTGCTGGTTTCTCTGTCATGTTTGATTGTTTCTCACCAGCTTTCTTTTTCAACTTTTTTCAGGGTGAACCTCTTAATATCAAAGTGAACAAGCTGTCATCTACAAAAACACAACTTCCCTATGACTACTACTTCTTGAAGTACTGCAGGCCTACCAAGATTTTGAATAGTGCAGAGAATTTAGGGGAGGTTCTGCGAGGTGATCGCATAGAGAATTCAGTGTATAGTGTAAGGAAATTTTTTCTATCTAATCTATAATTGCTGAAGGAAAAAGAAGAAAAGTTTTTTTTCCCCTAATATGTGCTTATGAGCTACCTTGCTGAGTGAATCTATCCTTGTGAATTATTTTACAGTTTCAAATGAGACAAGAACAACCATGCCAAGTGATTTGTAAGCAAAAGCTCAATGCTGAATCTGCAAAGAACTTCAAGGAGATGATTGATGATGAATACAGAGTTAATATGTAAGATTAAATTTAGTCTGCTCGTCCCCTAAATTTACTTTAATCCTCATGAACATGATTTTGACTCATATTTTACACATCAATTAAATCACAGAGGTGATGTGGAAGACAAATTTTGTTTTACTCTTTTCCCATGAGAATTTGGTTTAGTCCTACCGTGCATTATTTTTAAATCATGCTTTTATGTCTGAATTAAAATTCAGTGTTGAATGTTCATCTAATGATGCAGGATTTTGGATAACCTTCCAGTTGCAGTTCTTAGACAAAGGCGGGATGGAATTAAATCAATTACTTATGAGCATGGTTTCCGTGTTGGATTCAAGGGGAATTATGCTGGGGTTTGTACAGTCTTGGAATTGCTATAGACTGATAGCTTAGTCCTCACAAATTTAGTCTAACTGTTTTTGCATTCACTTTCTGATAGAGCAAAGAGGAGAAATATTTCATCAACAACCACTTGAGCTTCCGAGTCATGTACCACAAGGATCCTGAAACCGATACTGCTCGTATTGTTGGATTTGAAGTGACACCAAACAGGTTTCAGTGCTTTACATCTAGGCCTTGTGTCTTTCTTTTTTCTTTCCTTTTCCTCTCTATGTCCTGGGGTTGGGGAGAGGAATTATGTCCTTGCTCTTCTTTTCTCATGTGATTTTTATTGATAGCATTAATCATGAGTACAAGGAGTGGGATGAAAAGAACCCTCAGGTGACAACGTGCAATGAGAAAACAAAAGATTTGGTTCCAGGTAGCTCTGTTCCCCAAGAAGTAGATGCAGATAAGGATGTTGTATTCACCTATGATGTTTCTTTCGAGGTATTCTCTAATTGAACTTTTGTCCTTCCTACGTTAGGCTTGAAGCAGTTATTCTTTGGCTGCAGATATCTTAGTTACTATTGTTGTTCTTCCTTAGGAAAGCGATGTAAAATGGGCTTCTCGTTGGGATACATACCTGCTCATGAATGATGATCAGATTCATTGGTTTTCCATCATAAATTCCCTTATGATTGTCCTATTCCTTTCTGGTATGGTTGCGATGATCATGATGAGAACTTTGTACAGAGATATCGCAAACTATAATCAATTGGAAACGCAAGATGAGGCTCAGGAAGAAACAGGATGGAAACTTGTTCATGGGGATGTTTTTCGTGTTCCAACTAATTCTGGGTTACTGTGTGTTTATGTCGGAACTGGTGTCCAAATATTTGGTATGACACTTGTGACAATGATTTTCGCTCTTCTGGGTTTCTTATCACCTTCAAATCGTGGTGGGCTTATGACTGCTATGGTTCTACTATGGGTTTTCATGGGCTTGTTAGCTGGCTATTCTTCTGCTCGTTTCTACAAAATGTTCAAAGGAACAGAGTGGAAAAGGATTACCTTGAAAACTGCTTTCATGTTCCCCGGAATACTTTTTGCCATCTTCTTTGTGCTGAATGCTCTTATCTGGGAAGAGCATTCTTCTGGAGCATTGCCATTTGGCACTATGTTGGCTCTAGTGTGCTTGTGGTTTGGGATTTCAGTACCTTTAGTATTTGTTGGCAGCTACCTTGGTTACAAAAAACCAGCCATTGAAGACCCTGTCAAGACGAACAAAATCCCCAGGCAAGTACCAGAGCAAGCATGGTATATGAAACCGGCCTTTTCGGTACTTATTGGGGGCATCCTTCCTTTTGGAGCTGTTTTCATCGAGCTATTCTTCATCTTGACGTCCATATGGCTGAACCAGTTCTACTACATCTTTGGCTTCCTCTTCATTGTTTTCGTGATCTTGATAATCACATGTGCAGAGATAACTGTTGTGCTGTGCTACTTCCAGTTGTGCAGTGAAGACTATAATTGGTGGTGGAGAGCTTATCTGACTGCTGGATCCTCCGCATTATACTTGTTTCTCTACTCTATTTTCTATTTCTTCACCAAGTTGGAGATCAGCAAACTGGTTTCAGGCATATTGTACTTTGGTTACATGTTGATCGCATCATATGCCTTCTTTGTGTTGACAGGAACAATTGGCTTCTATGCTTGCTTCTGGTTTGTTCGGAAGATCTACTCCTCGGTGAAGATTGATTGATCGGAGGAGAGAGCTCATAGCTTATTATTAGTATAGTGAAAAGGGTCTGTAATCTAAAGTTCTGTTGATGCTGAGATTAGGAAAAAAGGCACTAAAATTCTCACTCCATAGCACAATGTGGGCCAAAGAGTAAGTTGCAGCCTGTATAACAGTTCAGCCTTCTGGTATTAGCTTAGGCTTGGCTTGTAACATTTCCATTTTCTCTTCCGTTACACTGTTGCTTAATTTGTTTTTTTTTTAGCAATGCATCTGGTAGGTCCTGGTAAAAGAAGTTTTGCTCAAATCTTATCAACAAAATCTCATATGCTCATCTTAGAAACCACTTAAAGTTGGATCAATTTAGAATATTAGTAATATTAAATTATTGTGCGAGAACAGTTCTGTGATATATCCTTTTAACACAATTCAGCTCTCCTGTTTTTGATTTTGGATTAACAGTGTTTGGAAATTTTCGAAACGCTAGCCTCTCTCTAATTCACTTCTACTGGGAAAAAAAATGCTCACAATACCAATAGAGTACATCCTGTTAGGTTTGCTCAGTTATTGAGTCAATTTATTCCAAAATATAAACTATTTTGAGTTTGGCAAGAAATAGCTAAAACAATGGCTTGAAATGGGCCAAAGATAAAAAAAATTGGTAAGAAATCAATTCAAGTTTGAAACTGTGTTTAGAAGTCACTTCAGAATAATTAGAATTTAAGTCTCTTAGAACCGAGCAAAACGTGTTCCCAACACAAATTTTAGTTATCATGTGAAAGATGTCTTCCTCTTAATGGCAGAATTTCATAGGGGCCACTTCTAATAACAATGTTGATTTCAAACTTGATGGCAATGATAACTATTTTTCTGGACCAGGGTTAGAGATGGTTTAAATATATGCATACATACATAATGGGTATCATTTACATACATATTTCACTACAAGTATGAGCAAGTATTTTTCTCTCATAACTAGGAAAGGCAAAGAAGAAAGATGAGGTATAACTGTCGTTAGCATATATAGATAGACCCTCAAAGGCCAAAAGTGGTGCATACGACCCAGATATTTACCATATGCAGGGCGTACCTAAGAAATAAGACAATGTTAATGGCAATTATTCGGTCCAAAATCAACCCAAGAAGCACAGGCACCTAATAAAAAAATTCCTGTAGTAGGTATGACTTTGGTATCAAGATGTACATACTGCCATTAGTGATATTCTCACCAACTAAGCTAAAAAATAAATCCTCAGCCAGAGTACACTTTCGTTCTCCCATTCTTCTGCCTGCAATTCAAAGTGATATCTCGTTAGCAGTCCAAAGGGGTGGGGGAGGGGCAGCAACAGTGGATTAAGAGAAGGTAGCACTGACCAAAAAACATCTTTCTTTTCTTGTGCTAATAACTCTTCAAACGAAATATCAGGCAAATCAGCTTCTGTGTTTTCAACTAGTTCATTGGATTTTGCTTTCATTTCCATGTCCGCACCAATTTCAAGCATCTTCCAAAAAGGGAAAAAAAAAGGGTCAATAGAAAGTGGCAAAGTACAGACTCAAGGAATCAACTTTGCAAGAAGAGATTCTAACACGGCGCAAGGGGAAAAAGAACAAAACTGGAGATTGGAAGTTAACCAACCATAAGAAAAGAATTTTAACGCTGAATTCACAACGTGATAGTATAGTACGATTTTATACCTTCTTGTAAGCTGGCGAGAGCTTCAGTTGTTGCTGCAGCCAATTATATACAAAAGCATCCTCTTCCAATCGCTTTTGTTCTAATTCTAGCTTGTATATCTTGCAGTCATAAGAAAATCAGTTGATATTTCTATTGGGAATGAGTGAAAAATAAATTTCCAACTCAAGAAAACTCGACAGAAGGGAGATGTCCACTACCTGCTGCCGTAGGCGAACAAAGGAAGACCTATCAGCCTTAAAGAGTAAGGCCTTTGTTATTGTGAATCTTCGTTGAATGACCTCAGACCTGTTGAGGAAGAACACATGTAATTACTGATACAGAGGATACACACTGTCTCTACTCTTATTTTTTATATTTTTTGGGAGCAGGAATGTGATGAAGAGAAAGTATAGGAACAGAAGGGCTAAGAATTCCAAAATTTCTTCCTGCACAGGGGATAAGTACAAATTTGACATAAAACTCATAGCAAAGCTCTTCATACAAAGAAGAATGTTGTGCAAGAGGACCAATGAGCACATTAAAAATATAGGTGCTTTGGAAGGTCATGACTCATGTGATATAATATGTAGTCATTGAATTAAACCCAATAGAAAACTGAAGGCCTGGAATCTGGATGGAGAAGAAGGGGGTGAGGGTGGCAAAATAAGGTATCTTTGACAAAGGTTGATTTGCATGTGTTCAGGACTGGAAAACACTTTGGAAAAGAAATGTCAAAATCATAAGCAGTCATAACTTTGTAAGAAGCTATATTTTAGCCTCACGGATCTTTTGTAAATCTGGCTCCCAGCACAGAATTTTGTGCTGATGGATATACTGTTACCATAGAATAGAAAAAATTAATAATAGTGAACATACTTGTGCTGTAGCTCATTCCTTGCTTCAACCAAGCAATTAACAAATTGACCAACCTGCATCATAAAACAACAATTTACGAATCTCAAAAATCTGCACAATCAAAGCCAATCCAAATATCTAAAACAAAAGAATGAAAATCCTAAGAGAAAATGACTTGGGAGAATGACACTCATTTAATCAAGCTAGATTATATTAACTTCATTTAAATTGACAGAAGTAGGAGAGCAATGGTGAATACCGTTATGTCCTCCATTCATAACTAGAGTAAATCCCAAATGGAAACTTCTCTCTGTAGATGTACACATCATATTACAATACCAGGATAGCTATGCTAATAGATTAGTCATGAGTTGTAACTTTAATGCATTACTGAGAAGTTCTAACTTCTCAAGAGTGGCATAGACAGCTTTAGGCAGAATATACCACAAGAAGGTTGGTATCACAAAACTTCTCTCTTGTTCACTTGGAACAAAAAGGCCATGACTGCCAAATCTAAACCGACCCATTTTTGTCTACCTTGCACTATGGTCAACAGATGTTTGACTCCACTAATCCAACCAATAGAAAAATCAAATGAGTGACCAAAGTTACATCTCAGGAACTTCATCTAATGAATGTTGTCTTAAGCCAGTCTGTTAAGCAATTACCCTACTGTGCATTCGGAAAATCAGTTAAGAGAGAAGCATGGATCATCAGTGCCACCCGATAAATATGATCCCATGCAACCAAGAAGCCTCGACTGAAATTTATGCTTCCTGATCAGCTAATTAACTACATAATATGTCTCTGCTTCATTGATCACCTCCAAGCATAATTTTCCTCTAGGATGGGCACCGGACCGGAATGAACCGGTACCGGACGGTTTGACCGGGTTGTTGACCGGTACCGGGATGAACCGGACCGGAATTATCGGGATAGAAGCTCGGTTCCGTCCCGTCCCACTATATACCGGACCGGAACGGGATGGGATAAACGGGACGGCACATATAGCTATTTCAAAAAAAATAAAAATTTTGAGTTATTTTGAATTACAAAAATATGAATATTTTTTTATTTTTCTAAGTTTAATAGTTTATAGTATTTAACTTTTAAAATTTATAATGTAATTTTACTTAAATTTATTTTAAAGATATTCTTTTTTAATTTTTACTTATATAAGTTTGTAAGTTAAGTTTAATAAAATTTTTTGTTTATAAGTTATACTTATAATTTGAAATTTAAATAACTTAAGTTTGTAATTTTAAAAAGTTAAATAAACAAAAAAGAAATGCTAATAAAAGTATAAAACAATGACACAAATACTATTTTTAATTTTAATTAAAAATGATTTACCGGGACCGGACCGGAACGGAGATGAACCGGTACCAATCATGATACCATTCCGTTACGTGTACCGGCTCAATGTATCCCATTCCGTTCTGAATACTACCAGAACGGACCGGAATGGTACCAGAATTCCGGTACCGGTACAACCCGGTCTGGTGCCCAGTCTTATGCCTCTCTACCCTACCTTTGTGGGGTAAGGTCTGCGTACACCACACCCTCCCTAGACTCCACTTGTGAGACTATACTGGGTTTGTTGGTGTTGTGCTGATATGTCTGGGATCCACAACAGATTTTACAAGCTGGTAGTTGATAAAAGAGTGGGCAAAATAATAGTGTTCTTGCTGAGCACTTGCTGCATATCCCTAAATTCCTAATACTCCATTTAGATAAGCAACGAGCTCACACAAACTTGAAACTGATACCCACAACCTGGAAAGATGTTTCCACTTGCTAAGGTATAACTCAGAAATCCTGATGCAGAATCATATCTTCGAGGCAGAAAACTTTAGAGAGACCAAGCCTAGTGTTGGCCTTCAGTCTTGAAGGTTGTGAGGAGCATTGTCTTGAAATGCATTCTCAAGGGGTACCTTGAGCTCACTAGCAAGTTGAGGCGTTTTCCCCTGTGCTTCAGGCACACCTTCATCTGCACCTTCTCTAAGGATATATATCTATGGATTTGGCTACCATTATGCTACCCCCCAGTGAAAAGCTAATACTTCACAAAGTTCCAAGAAGTCAATTTCTCGATTCCTACCTAAGGTGGGATACTCATTCAATGCATAGACACCTGAAAAATTGAGGTAATTTTATTAATAATCATTACCAAGGTGGTACTGATAGATAACCCAAAAAGTGTGGATCTGCCCCCTTTAATAGGTTAGATATGATTGGGGCTTTGCGCACTTTGTAATTGTTAACCCACTCCCGTCTGCCTTGGTGCTGTCATACCGTTAATAAAATATCATTACTTATCAAGAAAAAAAGACAATTATTTGTGCTACATCATCTACAACGTTTCTCCTAATCCAAAAGTGCAGATCTTTTTTTTTACCAGGTTAACCTAAAGTATAGCTTTTGGAGACATCTAGACTTTACGGAATGAAATGTATTCCTCTTTCCCTTCAAAACACTTGTTTTCATTTATGACCATATTGTCCAGATGATGCCTAACGGAATTTCCCTCTAGCTTTGGCTCTGTATCTTATCTATTCTTTGTCCCTGTCAGCTGCTGATTTGTTATTTCAAGTCGTTTGGCATCAACCACTTGACTCTAAAAATTATCATAAACATTGACCAAATTTTTGAATTAATATTCTCCTTCCAATTAATTAATTGACTCAGTACACCTAAACAACTTCTTCACTTACTACCTCAAATTAATATTTTCCTTCCAACTAATTATGTTAAACGTGTCTTCATTAAAACAAACTGATTAGCCCCCAAACTGTTACTCTTGAAAAAGACTGGAGTAGCTTCAACAAACAAACACTACCCTGGATAATTTTTAATTCCTGTCTTATGAACTAGACAAAGAAATCGTTAAAAAGGCGAGGAAACCTACTATCCAACTGCTGGCAAACATTGAATTGTGTAACACTTTTACCTAGTCCCCAATGTATGACAAGATTTAGCCTTATGGAGAGTTGAAATTAAGCCGAACCAATGCTCAAGCTCATGAAACCTTAAAGCAAATACTATTCATATTCAAGTTTGAAATGCAGATATCCTTTATCATGAAGGTTGAATATAGAACAAACAACAACATACCTAGTGAAATCTCACTAAGTGGAGTTGGGGGAGGGTAGAGTGTACGCGGACTTTAACCCTACCTCTTGGAGGTAGAGAGGTTGTTTTCGAGAGACCCTCAGCTCAGAATCTCAGTACAAACATCACAGGCAGGTAAGCTATACAGTGATGAACAGCCTTCTAATTCAACAATAAACACATCAATACGCAAACTTTACTAAATTCAAAGATTGGTATATGCTGTATACAATTATTAATAATCAAGCAGACAAAAGAAAGAGTAACAAAACCTGAGCCAGAGTCAATCCATTCGACTCATGAGACTTAACAAGCTCATCGTAATGTTGCTTAATTTTCCTCTGAGTTGCACTAGAAGACTTGGTAAAAGGGTATAAACACACCAATTCCTCTTTCTCCTTCACAACCCCAGAATCCCTCTTCCCTTCCTCTTCACTATTCGAAGCGGGTCTCTTCTTCTTAGCCCGTTTCTTTTTCTTCGTCTTCTCTTTATCCTTATCCTCTTCCACCCTTTCCGCATCAAGACCCGATTCAATCTTATTCGGGGCATCATCACCCAATTCATTACCAAACAGTTTCACCCATTTAGGTGAATTTGAAGGTAAGATCTCGAGAAGAATAGAATGGGTGAAATGGGTCGGGTCAGATTGATGCGTAATCTCCGGTTGTTCATCATTCTTAGATTCCTGTTGTATAGACAAGTCTTGTCGGACTTTAATTAGGTGTTGATGAGTGTCATTAATCTTCTTCTTAGTAAGCTTAGAGTAAAGAGAAAAAATGAGAATGGTGAGAGAACAAAATGAGAAAGTGAAGAAGAAAAGCAATAAAGGGGACAATAGTGATTGCTGCTGCTGGTGTTGGTGTTGGTGGTGATGAATGTGACAGTAGGGTGGAGAAAATGGTTCAGAAGTGAAGAAAAAGAAGAGAAAATTAGGAGTCGCCGCCATGGGAATGCGTCATTTACAGAAGAGAAAACAGAGACACACAGTAGTTAGCACCTGGAGTTTTTGGATATGTAGAGACTAACCGCAGTTTCTTCTAAACACTGACTCTATACTTTTTAGTCCATCTATCTATTCTATTACAATATGTTTTTTTTTCTTTTTTGGGTTTCCATCTACTAATTTCGGTTGACATATTGAAGCCCGATTAAATTTAATACTCATATTCTACATATTTTGTTTTTTGTTATCACTTAATTGTTGTTAGAATGATTATTAGGTATTGTTTCATAAGGTATGTTTGAAAAAAAATAGAGTACAGGTATAATTATTATTAAAAAATAGAGTGAAATATAAAATAAGATTATTTAAATAATAAATTAAAGCAACACAATGATGAGATCACACCAAATCATTCGTTGCATAATATGAGACTTCTTCTTACTATTTAAGAATGAATTTAATCAAAACAAATATTATATTTAAACTAACAACATATTGCAATAGATAAGGGATAATGATATGAAAAATATCCCAACTTTGATCGGATTTGTTGTTGCGATACTAAACTTTCATGAAGACCTATTACCTCCCTAGACTATTTAATACCTTCTAGGGAGGTAATAGGTCCTCATGAAAGTTTAGTATCGCAACAACAACTCCGACCAAAGTTGAGATATTTTTCAGACCCTTATCCCAATAGATAACAACCATCCAAACAAGTTGTTTTCTGTGTATGTATCTTTTTTTTAATGTGCATGTATCTCTCACCGTTAATAGAGAAGTAATTTTAAGGTTGAAAATATTGCTCGGGACAAATATAATTCAATAGGCAAAACATGATATTTTAAAGTCATTTCTAGGGTTTGTTTGAATTGATTTTTAAATGTTTTAAAGTCAATATAACTTTTAAACACTTTGAGGTGTTTAAGATAAAATAAAGAAGTGCTTTTAATCAATTGTTATTTCTTTAATTTTTTTTAATTGATGAGGTAATTTAGGATCTAGGATTCCAATTTTCTGTTTTTGTTTTAATCGAAAATTAATGTTGCTTTGTTGCTCAACTTACAATGCACTTAATAATATAAAAAACTTCTATAATTATAAAGGTTAATTGATTTCTGAGTTGTCAGTTTACTAAACAGGTTTTCTTAAGCTTAAAAGAAAATTAATCATAAGAAAAGAGAATAAATTTAAATGAAAAAGAAGATAGAATAATAAAGAGCTTCAAATAGAAGATTTTCTTTCACAAAAAAAAGCAACATAAAGCCTTTCTTTGACCTCAATGTATTCAAATTCTTTACTAGGAGTATTTGAAATCACTCAATAGAACACAAAACAACTTTTTTTTTTTTTTTTTTTTAAAGTTAGGTGAAGACGGTAAATGTTCAGTCCCCAGTGCAGATATGTACAATTCTCAAATTTGAAATTTGTTGTCTGAAAAAGGTGAAATCAATGCCTGGTCATGTAATCTTGTTGATGTGAACATGACATATAAAAAGGAGTAAAAGCTACCTAGGAGTATTTTATTTCTACATCAACTTTTTAGTGAAAACTGAGAAAAGGCCAACTTAACACATTAATGTAACTGGTTACCAACAACAAGAGTTAATTTCCAACAGTTACAATAAAGTTCATGACCAAATATAGCCTTGCAATTGAAAATGAAAAGCTTGATAGAGTTCGTATAAACATGAAGCTACCTTTCATCTACTCTGATCTTCATCTCTGTTACAGCTGTAAATAGGTAACAACCACCCGCGGCGGCCGTGTTCCCTTCTCCAATAAACCACAAATATTGCAGCCATCACATAAATGACAATCCAACTAAAACTTACAGTGTTGAGCTTCAAAATGTCCATAATCATCATATGGCCATGATACACAAGGATTGCTATATCTAACTAATCATGAAAGGCAATAGTAGAGAGTAATTCTGCTTAATACATTAAATGGCTTCTATAGAGTTTTGTATTACTTCATAGAGACGGAAATTAAAACAATTAGAAATTCACAAAGCTACTTAAAAGTGACATTATTTAAGCAACAAAAGGGAGTAAAACTTTCTGTTACCTGTCCAGATCAAGGATAGGATTAATATACACAAGCATTTACAAAAGAATGCCACAATGAATTGTGGTAAAGTGATTCAGAGGACCAAAACATCCTTGTATATGTTTCTAAGAAGATAAAAAGTATCTATGCACCAATCGCGGACAAAAGTAACTTTATAATGAACCGCCCTAACACCACCATCCCAAGTGATGAAAAAGCCACCAGACTTGTAGTTAAATTGATAGTAGCTTGAAAGTATCTCTTTTTTATAAGCAACTGATTGAAACAACCATTCTTTACATCTCCTAAAGTTTAAGCTCAATGATCCCTCTGGAGAATATGATCCAAGTACATTGATGGAGCAAAATACTTAGCTCAAATGCTTGTACATTAATTAATCTGTGACTATGTACTAAAGTTGACTTGAAAACCAGATTCATATTTGGTCAAGTGCAGGGGAGTTAGAACTTGCACCAACGAGGCTGACTACCACAACACTTTCATATGGGGTGGAGAAGACCACAACACAACCATCTCATGAAATAGTCCTCAAGATGGCATAGGTTTACTTGACACGATAATAGGTTAGATCATGGCAGCACCAAATGACAACAAAGGGAAACAGGAGTACACAATAAAACATTGATTATTGATCTGTTCTCATGTTTTCTTTTTTTGGTGCATGATTCAATTAAACAAATCTTGAATAGGATTGTTATATCACGGTGAATCAAGTCGACAGTGCCAAAGATTTCTCAATCCCTGCAACAATATCTGCTATATCTTGTGTATAGGGTAGCCTTCAAAATATTGAAGGTACTAAGATCAGCTTATGCTCTTAATGCCAGCCCATTCTATGTTGTATATTATCAATGCTGTTACATGGTGTTTCCAAGATTGAATTCACTATCGTGGTGAAGTTTCGTGAGTCATCTCGAGCAACTATTGCATAAGGTGTTTGTGTTAGTTGGCCTTCTCCATTCCATAAAACAATTAACCAAACGACTAGAGGAATTGAAGAGTTAGTTAACTTCCAAGTAAATTGTACTCAACAAATTTACAAAGAAGCAATAATGTACACTCCGTATTCGTTTTACCAATTAACCTTCATCGCAGATAGTCTACTTACATCAACTGTTCTACTAATAATCACAGTCTAGCTAACTAACTAACTAACGTAATCGTCTCCGTACTACCATAACAAAACAATTGTCAGTATTACCATTATAAAATGTACCTATCATCAAATTCGACATAACCTGATTCAATGTCAAATGGTGAAGATCATCCTCATAAGCTGCACCTGCCTCTGCTTGCCCCGCCAACACAGCAATGTAAGTGAAAAAAGCAACTGATGCACAAGTATTAGGCCCAAATCCAAATTCCCCATAAGAAATATTAACAGAAAGCATAAATAACACATTCAATACCCGAAAATTTCTAGGTCTACCAAAGTAATGCATCATTGGAGGGTAAAACGTAGTTGCTACCACCATACAAGCAGTCACATTTATGTCGTCAAATAATTTGTGGCTAAACAGTGGCGCTACGAATACCGCTACTAATGGCGCTAGGACATCAGAATGACGGCGTTTTCGTCTAGAATTTTCAAGGTGGAAGAAATGATAAAGCCGAGAGATATAAGGGGAGTAGCGGTGGAGAAGTACTGAAAGAAGATCAGCTAATAGAATGGAAGCGGAAGTAGAGCTAAGCCATGTTAAGTAGCCATGAACAGTAGCAATTACTATAATGAAGAAAAATAGGGCAAGTTTAGCTAAAAATTTGAGTTGCTGAATGTTCATTTCTTAATTTTAGGTAAAATTGGAAAAAGTTTCTTCCTATTCTGTCAATTTCCGATTACCGTTCCTTTTTATTCAACAACAACACCATTTCTCCGGTGAGCTATCTCCACAGTTCCGATTTGGAGAAGACGAAGAGCGAAGAGGTGAGTAACAAGGATTTTGTGGGTGCCAATGGTAGGGCCTTATTGCCGACTGGACATGACCTCTGGTATTTATTGCTGTGAACGCACTATTTTTATTTTTTTAATTTGTTTGTTCGGAAGAGTTTTACTCGTAGATTTGTTGGTGCAAATTTAAATTTAATCGGATTTCGACGTGAATATCACATACAAACGAAAAATATTTAAAAAATAATTAAAAGCTACTCCCCCATTTACGTTTATTTATCCATTGTATTAAAAATGTACTCTTTCTATTTTATGGTCTAAAATTAAAAATATATCAAATATATTAAAATATTCTTTAATCTTGTAGACTTAAACATGTCATGTGAAAAATTAAAATTAAAGAGTTGCAGAAAAAGGAGGGAGGAAAAAAAGTTCTTTTTTAAACATATTAAAAAGAAAAGTAGGTCAAACAAATTGAGACGGACAAAGTATATCTTCCCTTTAGCAAATAAGTTTTCTTTTATATTTTGTACTTATATTAATTACTTAATTTTTGAATTAATTTCTTGAGATCTAAGATTAATCATTAATTAATATTTTTTAACGGCATGTATGGTTCAAAATGAATAAATAAAAATAAATGAAGTAATAAATATTTTAACCTATAATATCTAAAATAAGTCAATTTAAACCAGCTCTTTATACAGGTAATCCTGATTGGATTAGGGCTAATAACCTCACACATGTTAGCAATATCTACTTTTTGGGTGCTCATTTTGCAATTTTTTAATTTTCTGATTAGGAAATTTAATTTGGAATTTTCAGCGAAAATGAGATTTTTGTGTCATTTATAAGTTAAATAGAAGAAAATGATTTTTTTCTAAATTTTTTATGTATAAAAATAAAAATCTCTGGTAAAAATGACACAATCCAAAAAAATTTATAAATAGCCTACGAAATCAATTCTCCTGAATTTTAGTGCGTTGATATAGCTATGTGTTGAAAGATCTTTTATTTTTCCCTCGAGATAGAGTAAGATTTGAGTACACTTTATTCCCCAACCTCACATATAAAATCACAAGCTACCTAAGTAGTTGAAATATTAAAGAAACAAAACTTTATCCATGTAGCAGTAAATTCACAAAATTATTTGGTCACATTAAAATTA